AAATCTTTAAGATTAAGCACCGATTGATGTCCCAAAAAAAATCAGCATCAATTCTAAGATTGATATCCTTGCATTCTTGCATCTCTATCACAGTTACTATTAAATAATCCCATCAATGATCCTTCCTTTTTGTTTGTTATAGTGTTTCATGGCCTGTTCTATTTTCTGGACAGGTTCAACAACAGTTGATCTTTACGCGACATTTCTATTTGTGGCTAAATGCTTGTGTCCATTTTAATAGTTTCATGACCAACACTCTCCACGAGTGAGATGTTTGCTAGAATGCAATCTCCAGTTCAAGGTTAAATTACCCTTACCTATTGGTTTCCTTCCTCTTATCATAGCCATGAATCTACAAGATGGCACTCGACAAGATGATCTAAAAAGATAGGACTGAGGGGTGTATTTGATATATTTTTCCTTTGCTTTTGGTGCCTTGTACATTTAAATACCCATTTATATTGATGTGCATGGATGTTAAACTAATGATATTGTTTCTTCAACACGCAAGTCATTTTTCATTGTGTCATAATTGTCAGTGTCTATGCTCACAAGAAGGCGACCTGCTGAAAAGAATAGCTTATCTGGAGGAACAAGTTCTATTTCAGATGACAATACTGTTGTTCAAAGGTGGAGTCAGTCCATTAAGAGACCCCATTACGCTTGTGGACCTTCATCCGATGTAATTCATGATGGTGCATTTTATACATCAGATGACTTTTCTGAAGGGTCGTTTAAAGAATCATCTTCCAGCTCACATTGCTCCGAAGTTGGTCGTACTGGATCTTTTTCATCTGTAGTTTGTAAGAAAAAAGCAAGACAAAGTCAGTGGTCTCAGCTTTCACTGAAAGCGTTTTTCCAGAAATCAGGAGCCAGTGGTGATACAAATAATAGTATTTGTTCTGACAAGGAGCCTCCTCAATCAGACATTTCGATTTCTTACTGTGAAATGAATGACACTGTCACCGAAGATGGTGAACTAGATGCTGCAAAGGAATGGCCGTCAAGACAAAGCACAATAATGCAAGGAAATAATACGTCACAATTTCCAGAAAAAGAGAAGAATATCACGGCCTTAGTTGAGTGGCAACGGATTCAGCAACTTATGGAAACCAGCATACCTCTTTGCAAGGGCCACAAGGAACCTTGTGTTTCTCGAGTGGTGAAGAAATCTGGACCTAATTTGGGTCGACGGTTTTATGTCTGTGCTCGTGCGGAGGTATTTGTGCCCATAATTGCTGTGCCTATTACTAAAATTTGTTTTTCCTTAATTTATTTTTTCATGAAAGTGATGAGTAAGGAAATGATGTTAGAATACATTGCATTCTGCACCTTAATTTAGTTTCGTAGCATGCTGTAAAAAGACAGGTAATTAAATAGTCTGCGCTAGTTGTCCTGAGATTACATTGCATTTTCTGTTCTTTTCTTTTTTTCTTTTGATTTGGTCTGGCTGCTGAAGCTATTTGCCCCTTTGCAAAGTTCAATTAGCCCCAACCTTTAGTACTTCAGATTCTTTTTCCCTTTTAAGTTTCCATGAGCTACATGTTAAAAACAGTGTTCTATATTTCAGTCTTGACTCTTTTCACTGCTTAAATCCAAAAGTTAAACTATTGGTAATTTAACTTAGATTTATCTTGTCCCTGACACTGAGGAGCTTATGGATTTAATGTGTTCCTTTTTTTTTTTTTT